CCCCCCTATAAGATATAGATACGTTCCAATTTATTAGGAATCCGATTTCTTACAAGTCGTTCCAATCACAGCCCGACACGTGTCAAGTTTACGGACTACGGCTGATTGAAAGGTTTTCTTCCATAAAATTAATCGATTCTACACTAATCCGACTCAACATTTCCAAAATACGTATATTTTTTCGTAGTTTTATAGGAATCGAAATTATAGGGACCGTAATTATAGGGGGGTCGACTGTACAGCATTTTCGTAAAATTAATTTTATATTCTTAAAATTTTTCTCTAATAAACCCGGGCAACGCCGGGATAACATGCTGCTTTTATATAAAGGTAATAATAATAATATCTAATTATTTAAATTAAACTTGAATTAAACATATTTTATAATAAAAAATTCTTATTGTATTAAATTTTCTTATGAAAGGTTAATTAAATTTTACATTTTAGGGTGACGTAGATTTCGATATTGTTAGTAAAATGGTTTATCTCGATGCGGTATTAAACGAAACGTTGAGAATACAAAATCCAGGTATAATGTAAGTACAATATTTTTATTTAATAATTAGCCTGTAGTATATCTACTGTATTAAAGAATAAATTCGTTTAAAATTAGGTTACAAAGAACAGCTTCTGAAGATTATGAATTAGCTGATACAGGTATAACAATAAAAAAAGGAAATAACGTCATAATTCCGACACATGGTATTCATCACGATCCGGAATATTTTCCAGAACCAGAAAAATTTAAACCCGAAAGGTAAATATATATATTTTTTAAATTCAAATTTAATTTAGATTTCCAGCAAAACATTTTAAATTTGAATTATGGATTGTTTTAACCCGATCTATTTACAGATTTTTACCGGAAAATAGAGAATCCATTAAACCATATACATTTTTGCCTTTTGGCGAAGGTCCACGTAACTGTATTGGCATGAGATTTATCACTATGGTAATGAAAATTTGCACAGTTTATATGCTACGTGATGTCAAACTAGTTGCCACAGAAGAAACACGGGTAAATATATTTTTTAAATGACAAATTGTAATAATTTTAATACGTTTATATAATTTATTGGAAGAAATATGTTCAAGTCAAAAATTTCGTGCGATTCTATTTAATTTCAATACAGAAAACTGAAAATAATAAAATTTCCAAATGCAATATATAATAGAAAAGTACATATTTTGATAAATTTATTAGTAAATCAATACTTATTAAAATCCTATCAATTTAAATGCCTGACTGAGATGAACTTTAAAAAATTCAGCAACTACTTGCTTAACTTTCCCAGCAACATTAAAACTCCGTGTGGTGCCATCTGTTATGATATTTTATTTAAAAACTTTTTATATTTTTAATTATTATAAAATGGCAAAGAGCTTAATTTTCAGGGTAGAGATGAGTTTTATAGGGAAAAAAATTGTAAATGCTAATAACGAGTAAATTCGTCGTAAAGTCTGTTCCTACTGAAGATATGACACACTCCCCCTTCATCTCCTCGCAGCATCGACCTTTATCCAACATTTAATAGTATCAATACTTCTAATATACAAACCTCCATGCGAAATTTTGGAAATTTTTGACAAAAGGCTCAGGAGTTATAAAGCTGTAAAGATGGTGAACAAATTCGTTCCACACACATACTAACTCATACATAGAGTAAAAACTCCGAATTATTTTGAACTTCTCCACGTTTCAATGGCTCGAGTCTAAAAAATGTAAAAATCTGGGGTATCATGTTTTGCCCGATTATCATAGTTTTACCTCTATTATATCTAACAGAGCCGAGAAAGTAAAAATACAGTGAGATCCCGCTTATCGCGGTGGATGCGTTCCTAAACGACAAAGCGCTAAACGAAACAGCGTTAAATGAGATCATTTTAACATAGAGTAAATATGGAAATGTTAAATATATATGAATATTTTAAATAACACATAAACATATGCACACACAAATATAAAGTTCATTTTTTGTGACGAAGGTCCTGACTTTTCTGAAATTCTTTTTTTGCAATAAAGTTGTGAAGTTTCATTAGTCGCTTTTTTGTTTTCTTAAGCAAATTGGGCCACAAGTATATATAATATATACTTGTGGCCCAATATACAAGTATATTTAAAAACTAACATGTCTAGATTATATGAATATTTTAAATAACACATAAACATATGCACACACAAATATAAAGTTCATTTTTTGTGACGAAGGTCCTGACTTTTCTGAAATTCTTTTTTTGCAATAAAGTTGTGAAGTTTCATTAGTCGCTTTTTTGTTTTCTTAAGCAAATTGGGCCACAAGTATATATAATATATACTTGTGGCCCAATATACAAGTATATTTAAAAACTAACATGTCTAGATTATAATAATAAGTATTAAAACTTTATCAAGAAAAAAGGATATTTTAAAAAATTACTTCTACAGACACTCAATTTTTACTTAGAAATAGATAAATCCATTTATTATAAAAGAGACTAAAGAAAATTCATTTGAAAAACACAAATATTTGTTTTATTTGGGTCTATAATTAATAAAAAGCGACGAAACACCATTTTAAAGTGCATTTTTATTCAATTAATGTAATTATAAATAATATTAGCCGAAAAAGTAGCCAAAGCGCCAAATGATATTTTTTACGTCAAGCAAAAAAAGTAGCCACATTTGGCCCGATGTAGCCAAATCTTGCAACGTTGGAAGAAATACTAAATAAAGCTGGAGTTGTGAATCAAAGGATTATAGACCCAAGTGCGGGGAAAAAGAGGCAAAGGACAAAAGATAAAGAAGTGAAAAAGGTTGAAAAATTACGGATCTATATTTGTTTAACAGAAGATCTATTTAACGTTTCTCACTACTACATCTTTTGTCCTTTCTCATCTTTCCCTCCCTTTCCCAAATTTGGGTCTATAATCCTTTGAGTCACAACTCCTGCTTTATTTAGTAATCCTTCCGCATTCACACATTTCCAAATATTTGAAAATATTTTCTTTCCACTCAAAAATAAAATATGAATAAAGGTTTACGGCTTTGTGAAACTTTTTTTTGAGTTTATGCCGTTGAAATAAATAAATAATAAAAAATTAAAACATTTGTCGGTTTTGTTTACACGTTTATTGGGCCGCACTTGAACTTGCTTTGGGCCGCATGCGGCCCGCGGGCCGCGGGTTGGACACCCCTGATCTAGATCATTCGCTACAATTTGATCAATAATTTCGATTATCGTTACCAAACTTTTACTAAGGAAATCTGTAACAAGTTCTTTGGGTTCTTCGTTTTCAGAATCTCTATTTTTAGTTCTACATGAATTCTTTGTTCTGCCAGTTCTTGAAGGTCGTCATTTGTAAGACTCTCATTAGAAACCTGCTGTAACTTCTCAATATCCTGCTTGTCTACATCTCCTAGTCCTGCTGTATTGATTAGGTTGCGTTTGGTCAACTCAACGATACAGCGATAGGCTCTTCTCGTTGAAAATTCTTGGATACATTCAGCCATAACTTCTTCCACACTTCGTTCGTGAATTTATCAGTTAATTCTTGCCAAGCCGATATTGCCTATGGCATCCGTGATGTTATATTTTCCCAAAATTGCACCAAACAAACATAGATTTAAAGAAAGTATACCTTTTTGTCCCTTTTTCTGATTGATTCTGTTCGTAAATAATCTTATTTTATACCAGTACGAATAATGAAATGCCACGATAATTTAAATCAGCGTAAATTTTGAGATTTTTTCAGGTTACGAGCAGACCTACATCGAATCAGCGCTAAGCGAGGCAGCATTAAGCGTGGTCTTACTGTATTAAAGTAAACGATGATCACTTCATTTCGTTGAAAAATTAAAATCTATTTAATGTATCTACATCGTTTTATGGTGTTCCTCTATTCAAAACAGTTATATTCCGAATAAAATTAAAAAGTTTTCTACTGTACTGAAATGCGTACACTCATTCAGTTCAATGTATACTCACTCTATGAGGAATGTAAAGTTGGTGATGATTTCAAATTCATAAACAAAAATAAAAAGACAATAAGCCATTTTTAAAAATTCTTCATTATTGAATGAAAGTAAAAAACGAATAAAAAAGTCTGAATCCTTTTTTGATAGTTAACGTTGTAATTATTAGAATATTTTTATAATGAATATCAAAATAATAAAATGAAAAAATAAAAACAGTAACAACTTAAAAATATGATTCAATTTGAATTTTACTTTTAGGCTCTGTTATATATAGGCTATAACAGAGGATAAGTATAGCAAACTGTCAAAAAATGACCCCAAGATTTTACATTTTTTGACTCAGAAGACCTTGAATCGTCGAGAAATGTAAATAATAATAATAATAAATCCGGAGGTTTTTTTTGTATGCATGAATGTGAGTGTATGTGTGGAACGATTTTACTCGATTAACTCCTCCAATTTTTATCGAATATTTCTGAAAATTTGCAGGGAGTTATATTAGACAGATTGATGCTGTTAAATTTTGGGGGTTAAAGGTCGACGAGTTGGAGAGATGAAGGTGGATCTTGTGTCATATCTCGAGTAGGATCATATTTAATAACAATTTCACTCGTTATTAGCATTTACACTTTTTAAAATTAAACTCATCCCTATCCTCAAAATTAAGCTTTTTGCCATTTTATAACAATTAAAAATATAAAAAGTTTTTAAATAAAATATCAACAGATAGTGACACCAAAATTTTAAACTTTGCCAGGAAAAATAAGCAACTCGTTGCTTGATTATTTTGTAATATAATTAAATGTTGATTTTAAGCATTGGCTACTTTCTCATTTTGCATTCTGTCCCAACAGTGACTGAATGAATAAAATCACTAGAATACGGGTATCACAAGGGTTCGCGACTCTCCAACGGGATGACCGCATGGAGTTTTCTTCGTTTTCTTCACGTTTCTACTATCTAAATAGGGATATGTTTTTTTTTAAGTGTTTCCAGAAGGCCCCTTTTCAGATCGCTCATGTCTTTCTTGCGCAGTTCTACCCATTAAAATAAATAACCAATCTTCTTCACTTTCTCAATGGCTATTCCGCATTCTGATCGTACCCAAATATACTTGAAAAAGCTATTCTGCTACTATGTAGTCAAAAAAATTTGTCGTTGATTTTTTTTTATTCTGTTGTCTTTTGGTTCAATGATAGGTAAAAGCACCCTTCCATCGCCTTTGAAGAAGGGCAGTGAAACTGCAAAGTTTTATTATTTTAAGATTTTGTTATCTCTGAATAAATGCAAAATGTTGCAACGCATTGGTTTATAAATAATCCTAGTAATATGAAACTTTTCCAATAATTTATTGACTAAATATTATTTTTATATAGAAATTTTTTGTAGTTAAAGTCTGCGTGAAATCTTAGTCGGCAATTTCTGAGTGTTGTCTTCTCTATCGATGATATTAATTTATTAGGAAAAATAATATTCTTAACTATTATATGTACAGTCAAACCTCGATTTTCGAACGGCTCACTCTTCGAACAAACCGGTCCACAGACAGAATTTTAAACTCGTAATTGCACCTGTTGCCGAATTATCTACTCGGCTAGAGCCGGCCACGGATTAGAGAGACACAGACGCTCAAATATTTATACTCTGTGTTAAAGATAATCGTCGTCCCGAGCAATCAACCACAGGACTAATAATTCAGAAGTTAGTGGTGCCGACATCGCGCCGCAGTTCAATTTAAATCAAATTCATAAAAACCGCGTTAATTCACATTCGTGTAATATAAATGGCATCCAAGAATTCGTGTTTAAATACGCTTAATTTAAGTTATATAATAAAAAGTAATTATTAATTATAATGTATTTTATCATTTCTCGTCAGTACACAATTGGCGTTCAACATTACATTTAACAGTATTAATTAAATGCAAGAACTTTTAACGAACATCTTTTAGAAATGAATTGCTAGAAAGCTATATCGAATAAGGTAAAAAAAGGTTCATTTTCGGGGTGAAGAACGGATTAATTCAGTTTGTATTGTTTCTTATAGGAAAATTTGTTTCGGTT